TTTTCCCACATTGTAGATTGTCTCTTAGTTCTGCTAATGGTTTCTTTTGAAGTACAGAAGCTTTTTAGTAAGATGAGATCCCAGTTGTTGATTCTTTCTGCTAGTTCCCGTGCTACTGAGGATTTGTTCATAAAGTCTTTTCCTATACCAATGTCTTCCAGAGTTCTGCCTAACTTACTTTCCAGCAAGTTTAATGTTTCTGTTTTAATATTTAGATCTTTAATCCATTTGGATTTTAATTTAGTGCATGGCGAAAGATAAGGGTCTAATTTTAATCTGTGACAGGTTGATATCCAGTTTTTCCAACACCATTTATTAAAGAGGCTATCTTTCCTCCACTGAGGATGGTGAGCTCCTTTGTCGAAGATGAGGTCGGCATCTTCATCACCTCCAACAACATCCGCGAGATAGAGATTGATTATACCGGAGCAGAGCCTTCCAGTCCCTGCAATAAATGCTTCTCCCCAGATGTGACACCTTGTGTTTGCACCATTAACTTCACACTGGAAAAGGCATTTGAGGGCAATGTGTTTATGTATTATGGACTGTCTAATTTTTATCAAAATCATCGCCGTTATGTGAAATCTCGAGATGATAGACAGCTAAATGGAGATTCTAGTGCTTTGCTTAATCCCAGTAAGGAATGTGAGCCTTATCGAAAAAATGAAGACCTACCAATTGCTCCTTGTGGAGCTATTGCCAACAGCATGTTTAATGATACGTTAGAATTGTTTCTGCTCGCCAATGAATCTGATCCTACGCCTACACCTATTCATTTGATCAAGAAAGGTATTGCTTGGTGGACAGACAAACATGTGAAGTTCAGAAATCCTCCTGGAGAAGGAACCCTGGAAGAACGATTTAAAGGAACAACAAAGCCAATAAACTGGCTCAAACCAGTGTACATGCTGGATTCTGAAGAAGATAATAATGGCTTCATAAATGAGGATTTTATTGTTTGGATGCGCACAGCAGCACTGCCTACTTTTCGAAAGTTGTATCGTCTTATTGAACGGAAAAATGATTTACATCCAACATTACCAGCTGGACAGTACTATTTGAAAATCACATACAATTACCCTGTACATTCTTTTGGTGGACGAAAATGGATGATCTTGAGCACTATTTCATGGATGGGAGGAAAAAATCCATTTTTGGGGATTGCTTACATCACTGTTGGATCAATCGCTTTCCTTCTGGGAGTTGTTCTGCTAGTAATTAATCATAAATATGGAAGCAGTAGTAACACTGCTGACACCATGGCATTTTGAGGTTGGCTCATACAAATTTTTTTAAGAACTCTTTTGTCCTTTGCTTCTTTGCTATGGATGACTTATAAAATATATGGAAATAAATGTTAGGTATATTGATTCATATCAACACTGTCACTGTTAAAGTTGCCTTTTTGTTTGCTTATTAGGCCAGGCCACATGATACATAGAGCTTCTTTCATGTGAAATGCATCTACTGCTTAAATGTTGATGCTGTCAATATATTGACATATAATGCTGTACATGTGTGTTGATTATGTGAAGGATTGAAAGTGTACTTGCTAACCTTTCAGATTCATAGAAAGATGAAGACTAAATCTACATAAAACACTTCTTCATTTTCATGTGTCATGTGTAAAGGCTTAAAGTACCGTCTTTGCTTAGGTGGTTCATGTATTGTTTATCCGTTCTAGTGTTTAGTCAGGCTCAGCTGTGTTTCAAAGGACATGCTTATCTGTGAGGCATAGAAAGTCATGCTCATGTTTAAAGCGGGCAGGCATGTCCTGGACAGGAGAATTTAAATTTCTTCCTCTCATTTGTTAAAACATTACACTCAGGAACTCCAGCTCACCTGAAATGTTTTTACATGTGGTCCTTTCCCTTGAAGCTTATGCTTTTTAAGGGAGAAAGAATATAGGTGAGGCAAGCAAACGCCGTGGCAGACCTTCACCCCTGCCTCCATTGTAGACTAGAGGTCAGTGCCCACATTGTTTTTGTTCTTGCGGTATTTAACATTCAGAAACTTAATTCAACATTGGAAATACCTCAAACTACCCTATTTTGCAGGTGTTTTGGCTTAAGTGCTAATATTATATTGCAGAAATTTTGAAACTTAATTTCCCCTGTATTTCCTTTAATTTTTGTGTACAGGTCAAACATGGATGGCGTACTTTAAATACATGTTCTCTTTAATTTATTGTTTTGGTTGGTTGTCCAAGATATGCTTTAAGATGTTCTATAAATAATCCTATTTCTGGGGATTTTTGGAATATGTACATGATTAATTACAATGTATATGATTGAGGTTATTTGCTAACTGGGATTATTTTAATATTCCTTATTGAATAAATGCTATAAGTGTTTACTATGGAACTTATTCTTGAAGTAAATGTAAACTTATTTTTCTACATACATGAAAATGTATGTATTTAATAGAGGTGATTTAATTGCATCTTTTAAAACTAAAAACTCATGTTTATATAGAAGAATGACTGTGATTAAGAGTTTGTAATAATTTCATGCAGTCATATTTGAAATTAGAAGTTCTGGTTAATATATCAATTTTGATTAATATATTTTTTAGAAAAATAAAATAGTGTAATAGTTAATAGAAATGTGCCACAGATTAAGTTTTGAGAGATTAGTTTTGCCACAGATTTTTTTAGTTGAGGACTTGTAATTCATAGTGACTTTTAACTCATAAAAGTATTACTTGCACGAGTTACCTGGTGTATGATTCTCCCAAAATTTCTGAGTAGAGAGAGTATTCTTTATCTAGATATAGTCTTTGTTTTGCCAGACCTCTGGAATGCTGTTTACCTGAAAGTTGTCCTTCTTACACGTGGTGCTTGTTTTCTGGGTCATGCAGAAATGGGGATTTCTTCATTCTTTCTAGATAGTCTGTGCTTTAAGGAGGTCTTCTGCCCTACATCCATCTCTCTGTGTCTCTGTCCATCTTTCTCTGTTTCTGCCCCCACTTTTATTTTTTAAATTGGGGAACCAGTTAAAAGTTGAAGGGCCGGGATGTAGCGCAGTGGCACTGTACCTGCTTAGCAAGTGCAAGGTTCTGAGTTTGGTCCCGGGTACCAGAAGAAAAAAAAAAAAGTTGAAGAGCTCTTGCAACATTTTCACGTTGCCGAGGGGTATTGATGTCTTTAAGGCCCTCCTTTCTCCTGCCGTTTGAACTCTGAGGGAATTCCTCTTGCTAAGTAAGAAAATTCGTATGAAGCTGTTCACACGGCCCCTGTGAAGCATGGGGAAGGGAAAGCATTTCCTTCTTACAAGTCTTATGCCTAAATTTGGGAACATTGATGTCAGATTCAAATTTTGGAGAATCCCACTGCATGTTAAGGCAACAAGGTTAAGTAGAAGACATAGAAAATGCAGCAATTTGTCGGAAGTATCTTATTGTGAAAAGTTTTCCAGTTGAAATTATTCAGTAAATAAAAGCTAAGAAATTTCATTGAAATCCTAAGGTGATTTACAAATAAGTGGGAAAAAAATAACTGTACTGCCTAATAGAGTATCATTCAACTTAAAGAGTCAAATGAGTATGATTTATTGGATAGCAAGTTTATTTTTAACCTTGATTATATTAAAAGATAACATTGTATGTTCTGCATTAATAAAAATGGACAATTAAAAAAATGATGTCACATATTTACTATGGATTAAAAAATTAGTTATAACACAATTAGAAGTATGATCCCACTGATTACAAACAGATTAATAATCCTATTCCCATGTTGTTTTTAGGGGAATTATTTCCTTAAGAAAGCCACTTCTTTGTGGGTTCCTTGTTTGGATTGTATACACTCTGTAACATGTTTAGTGTGGTAATCCAATTTTCCTAATACTTTTGTTAATGGTCTGTGAAAGACTGAAAATGAGAGAATGTACTATATATATGGTATTAAACTGTAAATTGGTGAGATTCATGTCAATGCTTATCAACTATTTAAAGATATTGGTCCTTGATAATCTCATAAGGAAAATTTGCTTCCCATTTGAAAGCTGGAAAATCAGTGGAATAACTGGAATCAGCATCAACTAAAAAATAATTTTTAGGTTTTCAGTATGTATTTTGGGAACTGTGTACAAATTGAAATATCTGTGTACGGATTCTCATCACAACAAATAAAATCTCAATTATGGAGGACAGGGATGCGGCGCAGTGGCAAGAGAACTTGCCTAGCATATGAGGCCCTTCAAACTCTAGCACTAAAACAAACAAACAAAGCATCAATCATGAAGAAAATGTTTTAATATTAGTGGGTGTTAACTACATGTCGAGAACCTTTTATACACATGATCTCAATAAGTTACACTCTTTCTTAATGAGGGAAACATTCACTATTCCCACTGCAATGATGGGTGATGAAGCTTGGAGAAGTGACTTACCCTAAGCAAGGTGACACAGGTAATGTTAGAACCAGGACTCAAATCTACACTGTTCAGTTCTAGAGTCAGACTTTACAACCAGGCTTTACAACCATTGTGCTAGAATATCTGCCAAGTATGTGTGCATGCGTGTGACATACACCTAGGAAGTTGCCTACAGGCCACATACTACTAACACTGGTTATCTGTGCTTTGTGATGGTCACAAAATAAATAGAAATAGACATAAGTCTAAGAGCTGTAAGAAGAGCACCAACAAACCCACAAATACAGGCTAGATGTGGCACAGGAAGCAGGACTTGCAGGCACTCTTTCAGAGCCTCCACATTCTCAGCCTGGATGCTAGAATGCAAGTCCCGGCCAGTTCAAAATTTCCATTTTTCTACAGAATTGATGTATTTTAATTTCTTCATTCATATGTACATTGAAAATCAACAGAGCAGTACTTATTGGGCAAAAATTAAATTAAAACCAACACAAAGGATAGTAGCGCCTGTACTCAGTGAACTACTACTTCATAAAGGACACTGAGTAATCGTTTCAGCCTAGATATCTTGCTAATTAACTCATCACACTGTGGATGAGAGGTGCCTTCTCCCTCCTCCTGGTTATTATGCCTGGCTTTCAAAGGCACGTCTTGAACAAGCCTCACAAAGATTCAAGGAGAAAAAACACATAAGGTCACCACCCTCTCAATCCTAAACGCTCCAGTTACACAATGTTCCAAGCCAAAGGCACAGATGGGTGGGGGGAACGGGCACGGAAGACACAGAGAACTGAAGAATTAATTCACGAATTAGTATTTCTTTAAAATTATTAACAGAGAGGACTTCTTGATCGTTAGTGGAATTAGGAGTTATTTTTAATTTTTTTGTAATTCTGTAACAATTTAATTTTTGCAAAAAGCATCTATTACTCATAATCAAGAAAACAATATAAACCCCTATTCTAGAAGAACTTCTTTGGACCAGTGTGCAGACTGTGGGGAGGTCACAGTCACTGCTTTCCCGCTCTGTGCAGTCATTGTGGCTGCAAAGGAACAGATGTGTGCTTTTGCTGAGCACTTTTGTTGCTGGGTGAGCCGTGAGCATGCAAAAAAGCCTTTCTGGGAGTACAGAAGAGAGCCTCCCACACACAGTCTCCTGGGATCAAAGTGCAGGCGCGTGATTTTCAGGGGTGGGCGCAGCATTGTTCCCTTGCTAAGCATCCCCAGCAAAGGCTCCGGCTGGAGCAGAGTGTTTCAAAACCTTGCTTTGATACAGGAAGCCTGGATTGTAAGAGACGCATGTACGAGTTGAAACACAACAAAGAAGGAAAGCAGAAAAGGAAGAGAAGCAGAAGACAGGAAAACAAAGGGAAAGGGAAAGGGGAACACAGAAGAAGAGGTGCATTAACCGGAAATAAACGAGGTTTGAATTCTTTTCAAGCTATTAATACTGCTGGGGGAGCATGGATTTTCCTATATGGGATCCAATGCATGTGAGCCTGCACACCAGCTATGCCACTTGTTCACCGAGTTGTTTGGGGAACTCTAACCCTCAGTCTCGTCATCAGTAAGGTGGGCATAATAATAATAATGATGATGATCATAATAATAATGCCTGCCCTACAGAGATGTTTTGAAGAATAAATAGGTAAACATATAAACTCTAACTCAAGCATAGCATGGGCATTCATTAACTAAATTATACCTGTAATTGTTTTTATTTTGGACTTTCTACAAACTAATAAATCAACTTTCCTGATGCAAGTGTAAGAAGGCTTCATTAGGGAACATGGGGATCTTCTGGCTCCAGTTTTTTCTAAGATGGGTTACTTAAAAGACACCAGTGTCCAGATAAAATATTTTTACTGAGTAAAAAGCACTTTAAAAATGAATGTCAATGTTTTAATTAG